TCACCGCTCTATGTTAGCTTTCTACACTTCTATGCCGACACCTTATTTCATTCTCACGTCTCCGCATTGCGATGGGTATTATATCTTCGCTATCGAATTGATGGTGGGGAATTACAAAACCAACTATCTTCCCATTCGGATAATTTGAATTGGTCGCAAATAGTGTTAAGGCACCCATAACTGCAAGGGTGCTATGTACTGTATTTTGCCTATATCTATGATCTTTATTCCTCACAAACCCCGGCTGGAGTACACAAATTCTCTCTCCCACCAATATCATCATCTTTATACACGTCAGCTAGAGGTGGAGAACGCCTCAGCTACTGTGCCACAATATATAAACAAAAAAGGGAAAAAATGCAACAGGTGCAAGCCAGCTGAGCTACCGGAAACGGATGGGCATCGTTCCCGAAACCTATCAGCCGGCTACTATGCAGCAAAAGAAATTAAAATGCAGAATTATGTAAGGCTAACTAGTAGGATAGTGGTTGGAGGGGAGGCTAAAAGGGGAGGGGATGGACAAAGAAACTCAAAACACGAGCGCCATTGAGGTCGGTTCCTAGCTATGTCAGCAATTGAATTTAGCCACACGTGTTCATCGTCTTTCGGACACCGAGCAGGAAGCCGAGATGCTCCAACCGAGGCCAACTTCGAAGTAAGGATCTTCATTCCTCTCGGCCAAGTCATTGCTTGTCCATATCTCCTCTTATTTTATCCACACCCCCGGCGCGCAAACAACACAAGTCGCGGGAGTCGGTGGGCTGGCATGCGTAACACGTGGCCCATCCATCGGAGCGTGATGCGTGAAATGATGGTGCTGAGCGGTTCAGTTCCTTTTCCGGTGCCGTAAACAAGGCGTCGAACACGCTGGTTGTTCACGTTGTGTTCCAACCAGATTTGAGTCAAATTGCGACGGCACTGATAATCGAACATAACTAGCCACTTTATGTCGGCTGATCTAAAGGTGTAGGTTTCACAACCGTGCAGTAGAGTCGAACCTACCGCTGCATTGTACACTCTCCCCTTCTCGGCGAGAGTGATGTCGCGCCAGCACCATAAGAGGCGAAAGTTAACAAAAGCGCCCCGAGCTTTTGCTATACGGTTCGTAATCTCATCTTCAATCCCACAGGCGCTGATACAACTTCCCAGGTAGTTGAATTTTTGAACGATTTCTAGCTGATCCCCACCAAGGGTCAGGTGAGAAGCGCTCCAGGCCAATCTTGGAGGAACACTTTACACTTCGAGGGTGCGAAGCAAAGCCCGGAGTGATGGACAGCCAGTGCTAATCTGTCCAGTGCAGCTTGGCACGTTTGTGAGCTGTCACAGATTAGGGCAGTATCATCAGCATACTCAAAGTCAATAAGTCGTTCTCCTGGGAGCAGATCCACACATTCTAAGTCGTGTACTGTAGACGCGATTTCCATGACTTCGTCAATAGCGAAGTTGAAGAGGAATGGTGACAGTAGGCATCCTTGCCTTACACCGGTGGAGATATTGAAGGGCGACGACAGCTGGCCGTAAGCTCTCACTCTGCCTGAGTTACGCGCATATATTGCTCGGATAATATTTACATATTTCTCAGGTACACCTTTCCTGACTGGACATTCACAATGTGCACGCCTATCCACAGATTCGAATGCACATTTGATATCGAGGGACACAACAACGGTGGGACGCCAATATATGTGACGGTGCTCCAACAAGTGACGTAATGTAAATATGCGATCGATGCAGCTCCGACCCCGACGAAATCCGGCCTGCTCTTCACGAATCTAACTTTCACGAGTGCCAGTCAGCCTGTAAAGGATGACTGAGGCAAGCAATTTGGAGGCGATGGAGATCAGACTGATTCCTCTATGGTTGCCGCATTCCGATCCTGAGCCTCCCTTGAAAATCGAGACTATGACGGATCGGCTCCAGTTGGTTGGGACAGTTTCCTGCCCCCACAGTTTCACTAGTAACTCGTGCAATTCATCCACAAGAGCAGGTACCCCGCATTTGAAGTGAACTGGAAGTAAATCCTCTGGTCCCGCGGCTTTATTAACTTTAACAGTCCGATCTCACGTTCGCCTTCTGAGCGAGAAGACGGATCCAAATGGACAGCGCACGGTGCAGGCGAACAGTGGTCGGCGAGAAATCTGACAATTCCGACAGATTAAATTGCCTTCCAAATTTCTTAGTCCAACGCTCCAAGCGTTTTGACAAAATGTGCATAGGCTGTCCACTCTCGTCACGTATAGTTTCAGTAACACCAGGTCTCCTGCTGCCCGTTTCCCGTATCAGACGGAATAACATACCATGGTTACCAAGGGCAGTGGCCATTTCCATCTCTGATGCACGATGAGACCACCAGGATTTGCGGTCTCTCTTCAGGCTAGCACGGAGTTTTGCCCGGAGTTTTCTGTGTGTGTCATTGTGTTCGCTTGCAGACGGAATGTGCCGGCAAGCATCGATAAATCTTAGAGATTGCGAGGAGACCCAATATCCATGTTGGTGATTGACTTACCACACGATGATTTGCCTGTTGCTAGTTAGGTCTGGTGAACCTGATTCCAATGAGCTTCAATTGCATCCAGTGAGCGCTTGCTCAACTCACATGTCCGCGTACTCTGATAAGCATTCAGAACAGCAGGCTTCGTCAGTTGGCTGGTGTCAACTGTTCACAGCGTCCTCATGGGCTTCCGCCAAAACGCATCCGTAAGCGGGCACTTAGTTAATCACAATTTAAGTGGAGCCGAACAGCATGTTTTGTTAAGAATAAATCGTGCGTTGCTAAACTTTTTGTTTCTTAGATGTAATAACTACTTGTCTGTATGATGGAATCTCAGTTGAACTATGTCACCTCGACTTTAGCAAGGCCCTTGACTCTGGTAACCTCCGATCCTTACTTGCGAAACTGGAATGATTTGGGCTACATCCTCAACATTTTCTTTCCTTGCAGAGTTCCTTTGCGGTTGAACCTTTCACCTTAGGTTCGGGAATCTAGAGCAAACATCAGCACTGCTCACACCTGTGTTCCCCAAGGTCTCGTTTTAGGACCCTTATTGTTTCAAGTTTTGATCAACAACTGGTCGCTTCTTCTCCACAACTTCTGTTGTCTTTTGCTGATGTTCTGAAGGTCGTCAGCAGGGGTAATCTATATACGTTGTCTGAGGACTTTCACACTGTAGTGGGTTGGTCAGTTAAATGGGATTTGCGTGGAAATTGCGTGGAAAATTGCGTGGAAATTAAGCGGACTTTGAAGTAATGGGGCTCTTGTTCGCTTACCGGTCCAAAAAACAAGACCTTGGTTACGCGAAACCCTGTTTCCCTCTTGGAAGCTGACTTGACTTCACTTAACATCTGAACTAAGTTTTATGGCTGAAGTTAATGCTTGACGCATTTCCCAAACCTAATAATAGTGGCAGAATAGTATTTTACTGCATATATATATATATATGTATATGACCCATGCTGAGGCTGATGTTGCACTTGATGTTTCTTTACCGCACTTGAGCTAAACCAACTTACACGTAAACTAGGTCTTTCTAAGCTGGATAAATTTCATTCCACTTTATATGATTTGTTCTGCCTACCTAAATAATCTTCTATTAACTGTCCACGTTGCTTACGGTAATTGTGCTTATCTTCGTTAACTTTATTGCGTTTGTAGCATTTTTAAGTAAATTGTGGACATTTTTCCTCATCCCGGATTCATTGCTAAACGACTTACTTCATTTGGTAATTTTGCGAAGAGTTATGCCACTGTATCTGTTTGCATTATTTGAGTTATTTTATTTCATCTTGTCGTTTCAACTGATTGGCTGTTGCTTGATATCCCCGGTGTGGCTGCGCTTGATGTGCATGTTGACAAGGTGCCTACCTGTCTATTACCCACTACCTCGCCCATACTGGCTCCAGGAGACAGTTGGTCATTGCTGGAGGGGACGGGGTGCATGGTTCTTGTGGCCGTGCTAGGCTCGAGGAGCGGTTCCATGCACTCAGTGTGGAGCGGACTACGATCCAGCCACCGCCTTGTGTGCGTTTGATTCCCCAAATACAGCGTGGTTGTGTTTGCCTGTGAATGAGTGTGGGCCAGCTCCGTTGATGAAACATGGCTCCCATCCACATGCCTCCCAGTCTTATTCCTTCGGGATTACACTGGATATGGGGTGTGTGGATGGAGCTGTGGGTGGTGCAGCGCAAACCACCCATGGTCCATCTGTAAGTGCAGGCGTCCTGTGGCATACAACTGTGACAGGCAACTCCGAAACCGGATGCCGCCAACCATATATATATATATATATATATATATATATATATATATATATATATATATATATATATAAGCTGGATTGCCTCCCGGGGATGCTAACCTTCGGCAATGCAAAATTCACATTAATTGAATGGATTAAACAGAGGCGGATTCTAAGCAAAGAATTCTTTTCGATCATTCTTATGAAACTCAAAATGTACAGGATGCTGATTGCGGGCTAAATGTATGGGATATGGCCGCGTATTGATTAGAATGTTAAATTCCAATGGAAACGATTCGATAAATCCCGCGGTCACTGAAGGTAGCCGATTATGAACCGGGTTCCAATCATTTTCGCACACAAAGATTAACTGGGGTATAAATCAAAGGAACATACAACGAAAGTTGTAGGCCACAATAAAAGTGCGGTCACACAGGAACAGAAAACGAATTCAGCGTCGTCTACTCTTTCCTGAAGATTTCTCGCGCGGATTCCGAAAGCATCTCCTATATATTGCGCAAGTTCTCTCTATTCCGCCATCTCAAGCCGAAGTTGTGCTTACAAAACAGTTTATACGTCCTTTAATTCTACTGAAAGTAATTCCTTACTCAGAATCGGCCTCTCTAATTCATACCAGATCTGCTGCATTTCACGTGAGGGGAAATACCGCTAACAAGCTCATCGATCACGCTCCTGTTTAAGCAAAGAAAAATCAATAAAAGCGTCTGAGCTAACCACTCCAACTGGTATTGAGCCGCTCAGATCATGAACACGGTGGGTTTGCTCGATGGAGCAGCAATAACATGTACGAATAACTATGCAAGTGACGTGAACCCACCATCGTGCTGCACTGAAGATCCAACAAATGTTGGAAAGTGTGGAGATGCCGATGGCCCACCCGGAGTATTCGGGGAATGTGAGCATGTGTGCTCTGGCGAATTGTGCTGGCAGGCTTCAAACCACGATATTATTCCAAACCTGATGGACAGTGCGTACTCTGTGCAGTCTAGATCGAGATCACGTGAAAGGCCATCATACGAAGCAAAGCGATCCCCACTTAGTTTGGTTTTTAGTCAGGCCAAATCGACGGAGTCCGTTTATTTGGACGAAACGCCTAAACTGAGAAGGGGAATGGCATTTATGGAGTTCGAAGATGGAGATTGTGAACCTGACCACTATTTGAAAACCCATGTGGTGCGGTGGAATGCACCTGATTGCGGATTGGGTGATAAGAAACTGGACAGCAATTCGAATGAACGAGGGACCGGTCGATCGGTTCTTCACTGGCGAGTGCGCAAAAACCGTGTGTTAAAGCAGAACCCATTCTCGCGCTTCTCCAAAAAAATCTTCATGCCCTCGTCCATCGCACGAGCCGAACCCCAAAAGACCGAGATGGAGGCAGTAAATGGCGCAAACGCGTTCCCTTATAAACATGCTGAAGAGTTAGCGATGGAACATCTGCCCAGTGGTGATTTGTTTCATCAATTCGGGTTCGTAAACAGCACTAGCCGAGCATTAAACCCAGTTGGAAGGCACGTTTAACGTAATCAGCCAGAAGAGACAAAATAAAATCACCAAGGAAAACGGCGCCCATCTCTCATGTGTGTCCCGGTAAACGTACCTTCATTTCGACATCATTTACGTTTGTATTCCTTTCGGTTTGCTTAACTTCGATTGCATTGTGTAACTGATGAACTGCTCATTTTCAACGATATTTTTAATGCAAAACGAGCAATTCACATTGTTCGCAATTCTGCATTCTGTTGGGAACAGAGCGGTGGGAAGGAACTCAGTTAATGGTCCAGAGGTACCTAGAGAACGACGTCGGACATGACAAACAAATCGGGCCTAGAAAGCGCATGTTCTCTAAATTGACGGGCAAGACCCTCAAACAAGAGAAGTAAAACAAGCGTTTGACAGTACAACTTATGGTAATCAGAACTGCATTCATGGTGCATCGGTGAAAAGCACGAACGATTGTTCGTCACAGTGGACAGACAGGGAACGATTTGGTAATAAATAGGTGAACAGCAAATTGCAGCGGTTAAGGCACCAGTGAACACAGAGAGCAAGCAACGGAAACTGGTGATATAACCCACTGATCTTCATGTTAGTACGATGAATTGTAGAATGTAAATGTAAACAAAACCGATATTCGGGTAAGACTGCGTGAAGACGACAAGTGCGGATATTTCTAAACGTCCAACACCAGGACATATTTGTAAGTGCAAGGGAAGGAATACCATGGCGTTGTTTGCTTTTCGTCGGCTCATAACAGGATTTAGGCTACGCATAGACCAGTAATATGCTTAGAATCCAAGCTCCATGCAGCATAAGATCAAAACAAAACAAATATGGTGAGAAGGGAGAGCAACAGAGATATGTGCATAGTGTATATATATATATATATATATATATATATATATATATACATATATATATATATCACAAGTCTGTACACAGACAATGTAAAGCGGAATCGTTCGGTCGCCATAATGTCAGGCTCGTTCCACCCCAAGGATAAGTCGTGAAAAGATAAATATAAGGACGAGATATACGTTTATTGTCGAAACGCAAAATCCCACTAACTGAAAGCACCGTAAAAATGGTTCTAGCTAGGGGATAGGTCTAGTCATTAGCAGATGCGCAGCAACGCTCTTCGTCGCAAAATTACTGGAAGCGCGCGCGAATGCGATTCGTCTGTGTGACTCAAACACACGTAGTCATCGTGCAAACAGGCAAGCTTCCTAACTTGTCTATGTACAGAAGGATATTACATTGTTAATAATGTATTTCATAAACAAACAAGACAATCTCCTGGTCACTATACAGCCCCCCTCCTAGAAGGGAACCGTGGGTAACCCTTCGAAAAAGGTGAGGACTGTCCGTGCCGGGCCAGCTTACTGTCAGACCAGGCAGTGAAACTTGATGCAGCTGCTGGGACCCCAGCGGGCTCCCACCTATGTCCTCCCTTAAGGTGCCGAGAAAAGAAAAGGGTGAGCACGTTCTTAACATGCGATCGCTTGTGTTAGACCATGAATGAGTGTTCTCCGGTTCGCAACATGAAAAAAAGCAAGCAACGCGGGAGGTCAGATATGCAGAAGAGGCGACAGCAACGGACGGGAAAAGCAATTACCGAATAGGCAGCGGAAAGTCAAGAAAACAACGCTTTTGCTCGGTTTTCAAAATTTTTTGCTGTGTTTTGGATTTTCAAAATATTTTGTGTGTTTTTTTTTGAAAACCTACAAATGCTGTTAGAAGCGAAAAATGCTAAGCTAACGTTCTAGGAAACGTGTCGGCTAGTGAACCCGACGACCAGACCTAGTAACGCTTTTAGATGTGGCGGAGTCAGAGGGCTCAGGAGGCGGTTTCCGGTTGTAGGGTTGCTGTCTAGAGATCGGATTTCAGTGCTGATCGGATTCCGTGTAGTAACATTGGCAAAACTTCTGTTCTGGCGGCACTTAGCCAGGCTTTAAACTGTCGGTGGAAGCGCTCCGCCATTCCGTTTACTTGAGGATGGTAAACGATTGTCTGGATGCGTATACATCCGAGGACTTAGAGTAGGTCGTTGAAAGTGGACGATTCGAATTGTGGACTACGGTCGGTAGTCACAGTGACTGGACAGACATGTGAAGCGATCCAGCGCTCGACGAATGTGCTCGTTATTGTATCAGCGGATAGATCGGGAATTGGAACAGCTTCAGGCCAACGAGTGGGGCGATCGACAATGGTTAGAATGTAGACCATTCCTTTGGACGGCGGAAGTGGTCCAACGATGTCGAGGTGAACGTGAGAGAATCGAGTTGATAGCGACGGGAAGCGTCCTATCGGAGCGGCAACATGTCGATAAACCTTTGCTCGCTGGCAAGTCAGACAGCTGCATGCCCAAAGTCTGACGTCGCGCTGCATGTGGGGCCAGACGTATCCGTCGGCAATCATCTTGACTGAAGCGCGGATGCCAAGATGCGGGATGTTGTGCAGCGTATCGACGACTTTTCGGCGAAAGGCACTTGGTACCAGTGGATGTGCATGTCCGTTAGAGACGTCGCAGATTATCGTACTTGTAGACGAATGAAGCGGTCTAGGTGCCAACTTTCAAGTGGACTCTTCGCAGGATGAAATTAAGTCTTTTTCGGCTTGCTGAACAGCAGCCATAGTTGACAGATCGAGCAACTGCTCTGTGGAAGCCAGAAAGTTTACTCTTGAAAGTGTGTTAGCCATGACCTATCTTTGCGAGACACGTGTCGGACGTCTGTCGAAAATTAAGACACGAAATTTATATGACGAACTTCATGCGGAGAGTGTCGGGGCGATGGGTTCCGGAAGGCGTAAACGAGCGGTTTGTGATCTGTAAAGATGGTAAAATGATTACCATCGAGAACTTGATGAAAATGGCGAACTGCTAAGTATATAGCGAGTAACTTGCGGCCAAACATACTCTATTTCGATTCGGCTGTCTAAAGACGTCGGGAGAAGAACGCTAGTGATTGCCAATTCCCTTGGGAAAACCGCTGTAGAACAGCGCCGATTGCGTTTTCCGAGGCGTCAACGGCTACCCCCATTGGAGCGTTCGAGTCGAAGTGATGAAGCATGACGGCGAAAGCGAGTGCTTCTTTGCTAGCTTCGAATGCTTTTTGTGCTTGAGGCGTAAGACCAACTTTACCGTTGTTACGTCCACGCAAAAATCGGTGAGCAGGTGCATAAGCTCGGCAAAGCATGGGAGGAATCGGCGATGGTAGTTGACCATGCCGTTGATGCGTCGAATTGGCTGGAGTCCTTGGATGAGGAAAGTCGCGAACTGCCTGGACTCTGTCCGGCAAAGGGCGGATACCCTCGCAATCTCGTTGGTGTCCTAGGAAGTCAATGCGCGGCTGCATGAAAATGCACTTGTCTGGATTGATAGTAGCATTGTGCACCTTCAGCCGTTCGAACAAGAGGCGTAGTTGCGTTTGATGTTCCTCTTCTAAAGTAATGACCACCAGGATGTCGTCGATGTACGGGTGGGCGAAGTCGAGTCCAAGTACGACGGAGTCGATGAAACGTTGAAATGTCTGCGCGGCGTTGCGCAGACCAAATGGTATGCGTAGAAATTCGTATAGTCCAAATAGTGTAATAACGGCGGTTTTCGGTATGTCCTCCTCGGCTACCGGGAGCTGATGATAAGCTCGCACCAGATCGATCTTTGAGAACACGCGAGCGCCATGAAGACCGGCCGTAATATCCTGTATGTGAGGAATAGGATAACAATCCGGAATTGTCACGTTTTTGAGAGCGCTGTAATCGCCACATGGTCGCCAGTTTCCTGACTTTTTCGGAACCATGTGAAGGGGCGAAGACCAAGGGCTGCTGGATGGTCGGAGGATTCCAAGCTCGAGCATGTGCTCGAATTCCGCAAGGGCAGTTTTGAGCTTGTCCGGTATCAGTCTTCGGGCTTTGGCGGAGACAGGCGGACCCTTGGTAACTATGTGGTGCGGCGTAGCTGCGGCTGCAGTTGACAGAGACAATGAGGGTCGGAAGACTTCGGGGAAACTTTCAAGTAGCGCTTTGCCGGCCGGCGAGTTGGCAGTGGCGTGTACCGGACTAAACGATGCTACATCGCTGGAGATTCCAGCGACGGAAAACTTTGTTGTCTGATAGATGAGACGATGTCGTTTAGCATCGACGAGCAAGTCGAAGTGTTGTAGAATATCCATCTCGATAATGGGATTTTGGACGTCAGCCACAAGGAATACTTACCGAAAAGTGCCTCGCGGGTTCAGATTAAGCGTGCGCGTGCGCTGACCGTAGACGCGGATGCTGGTGCCGTTGGCTGCGCGTAGAGATTCAGTCACCTTTCCGGTTGCGCCGTTGGGATCAAGTGGAAAGACACTGACCTCTGCGCCATTATAGACGAAATAGCGAACTCCCGTTTGCCGATCGGTGACGAAGAATAGGCGAGTGTGTTTATCATCTACGTCCGTCGCCCCTACGTGTTGGTCTGCCCGTTCCCCTGCGCTCAGCGTTTGTAGCAACACGGTGGGCGGCAAAACTTGGCCTGCGGACCAAATCGTTGATGGTACCAGCAGTAGGAATACATTCAACGCGATGATTTCGACGGCGACTTTGATCGAGATGGACGTTGACGATTTGAAGATCGACATCAACAGCTACTCCCAAAAGTTGTGAAATCGGTAAACTTCTTGGTGAGTGCGACAATTTGTGCTTTCATTTCGGCAATATCGTCTTTCGGAGCAGATCAAAATTGCGAAATCTGGCCTATGATTCCTAAATTTGGTCTGCTATATCAGCTGTCAGCATCAGGGACGCGCCAGCATTTGCGTAGGAGATATTGCACATTTCATGTGGCAATCTGCGCAGCCACATTTCCTTGAGAAATGTGTCGTCCACTACGTCAAATTTGACTAAACTTTGCATCTTTCGTAATAGCTGCGGTGGCTTGAGTCACCCAACTCCGTTTCGCTCAGAAGCTACCTGATACGTTGACGATCTGAAAGACCTGACCTTTGGAGAACCGCTGCTTTTATTTTCTCGTAAGTTTTCCT